AATTTTAAATACATTTAATTACATAAACATTTAAAAATTCAAAAGAAATTTAAATTCAATGACAAAAATTAATGTAATATATCAAAATTTTTCGAATTTTAAATACCTTTATTTTAAATTAATTCCAAAATAAAAAATTAATTAATTTTATATAATTATAATTATTTTAATATTTAATTGAATATTAAATTAACTATTTTCAAAATTAAAAGTTTTATTTTGAAATAATTTAACTGATCAGAGTCACTTATGTTTTAGGATTAAAAATTTAAGCTTGTTGTCAGTGACGCCCGACCACTTTACTTTCTATAATATTATGAGTTGTAATAGTAAGTGACACTTGCCACATGGACATTCAATTTGAGTATTTAATTTAATTGATTGATTTATTCAATTTGATTGGACAGAAGAAATTGCTTGTCTTTTCTAGTTTATTTTAATTGCATGCCGATTTTGATTTAACCTAAAACGATCGGAGGCTCGTGAGGGTACGAACAAAAAATTTTCTACATTAACAAAATTTAAATTTTCAAGTAAACATAGAAACTTTAACAAATTTAAGAAGTAAGCTCTGGTTTGCTTAGGGTCTCATGCATTCATTTTAAACCTTTTCTTACTTGTTAGGCACCTCCCCGCCTATGGTTCTAGCTTTCCACTTGACTTATTAGGTTGCAGTTCTAGCAAGGGGAAGTTATACAATATCTAGGATAAAAATATTTTTAAATCTGATTTTAAAACTTCTTCATTCTAATTTAAGCATTTATCGAGTTAACTAGCATGAATTGTATTAGATACAAACTTAAAAGTGTCTAAAATTTTAATTATATTTTATTTCAAGCATCAATTTACCCAATATAAGTTAAGAGGCCAATTAGAATATGCTCTAGATGTTAGCCCCATTTTCTTAAACTTAACTAAACAACATTCCTACCCCTCTTTCATAAGTGACCGAACTTATAGTTTTAAAGCGCTTTAGTGATTAACTGGCTCCCCAATCTAGGATGAGGTTAGACTAGGTTTGCATTGCATTAGCTAGGTTCGGGTTTTTGATTTTCTATACCCAATTTAGACTTTGGTTCTAAGACAGGTTTAGACTATAAGATCTCAACATTCGAGAATCTAATCTCAATCTTCTAGTAAAATTTGCAATTCAAATTCAAATTTAAGCTAAACACATAGGATAGGCTGTGGTGCTTCTAAAATATTTCATAATCTCATAGCACCTCCTGCCCTTTCTCCTTTGACCTCCAGATATAAGGCTTCCACTTTAATTCAATCCCTATTAAATTTCCAATCTCGCTTCCTTTGATATCAATCTTTAAGAATTCAAAATAAAATTTTTATCCTTATTTTAATTGAGAATATTCATAGGAAACTCTAGTTTTTTATAATATAATTAACTATGAGGACTTGCGGCCCTAGGAGATTTGGTAACCTAGATCAAATAATTTTTCAAAAATTAATTTTTTAAAAAAATTAGCTAATTCTCTTTAGGAAAAATTAAATTCAACTATCGTTATCATCATATTTAAATGATCAATAATATACAATATCTTCTTTTCTTGGAAAGATATATCGTTCTATTATCATGAATTTGATTTTGAAATTAATGATCTTTTATCTAGATTATTATGGTCAAACACTCGGTTGCATATCGTTTTGATCCTCCAGGATCATATATTGTCCTTCCTTTAAGTTTGACTATGATAATCAAGATGAATTCAAAGTTTTATAATCCGAACATATTAGAGAATGATATGTTTGCCTCTTGATGTGATATATTATTCATAATAACGTATTTGATTTTAAAACTAAAATTTTAGAAATTAAGTTCTCTCAGAAATAAATTAATAGTTTCAAAACTATAACCACTTTTTAAAATCAAATAGAGGGTCAAGTAAATTTTGTTTTTCATGATTTTAAATATTTATTTAGAAATCTCAACATGTGGTGTGATGTTGAACCAAATAAATATTTAAAAATCCCCCTTGTATTGTGGGGGGATTATTATAGGATGTTTAAAATGCTTTTTTGTACTACAAAGAATTTCAAAACAGGCAAGATATATATCACTAAATATACATGAAATAAATAATATATTAAATTTCTTTAGGTAAACTCCATGTGTTATATTTTTCAAGAATCGACATTTAATCGACAACATAAGCTTCTGATCATGTTGACCTGCTGAAATGAAACCTCTCACGCCTCGATCGTAATGGCTCGAGCAATTTGAACTCAAGCGAGTAATTGAGATTGATTATAGGGGACTTACAAAAGCTTGAACCTTCAAGAACACGAAGGGACAGTCCTGCATCTGGTCTGGCGACTAAGACTCTGAGCCCGTACCCGAACTCGGACCATACGACATTAAGCGAGGACTTGTAAACTTGATGGATTCAAGTTTGAATGAAATTGAACTTGGACTCAACACATGCAAAGGTCAAATCTTGGATCACATATGAGGAAACTCAAACTACAAGACCTCGATGCGCGAACTCCTACAACAATCCCCACAAATGCCTATTGATTGAGATGGCGATACGGGAGAGCAATGATGGAGGATCCACCGCCAGCAAGCAAGTGCAATCATCAAAACCACCCGAGATTGGTGAAAGGGTGGATAAGGTGCGGAAACAATGGGTCTTCTATAAATATTTCTAGGAGGCGTAGTGGATACAGCAGTCCCCTGCAAATGGATACTTGTGGATAACAAAAGTGTATTGAAAGAACAACGAATCACTATGGACACAAGTACAGATATCACCTACGATAGTGGTGATCAAGATCTTTAAGTATGTCGGGTACAAGGGCAGCCCTGTGTATGAAAGAATATCGTCCCCTATAAATAAGTACAATTAGCAAAACCACTTGAGATTGGTGACAGGTGGGCACGATGTAGGCAACAATGGGTCTCCTACGAATAATTCCAAGAGCTCGTAGTGGCTACAATGGGTTCCCGTAAATATGTACAAGTCGCTTGTGGATAACAATAGTGGACATATCATAGGTACAGCGAACCACTGTGGGTACAAGTACGAGCATCACCTACGACAATGGTGATCAAAGTGTTGTCAGTATTTCGGATACAAGGGCAACTCGATGTACAAAAAAGAACACCCCCCCTGGCAGAAGGGAGGAAATGTTTGAATAAGTTAGAACCAAACTTCCTGGTGTTCCAAAGTCTCTTCTTAGTTCCATACTTGAGAAGAAAACTGCTCTGGTGTCTACAAACACCGAAGATAATGAGTCCGTTACACCGAAGATCCTAAAAGATGTTCTTTCCAAATCAACAGTTGTTAACTCCAAAGTTCAGAAAGATCCTTCCCCGGTGATTGAGAAAGGGGGAGTAAACATCAAAATCCAACGCCACCGGATCTGCAACACTCATGAAAGCAGATAGAAGGCATCCACAATCTACAATGCCATGCCACCGAATCTGTAACACTCATGCAAGCAGATAGAAGGCGTCTACAAACTATAATGCTACGCCACCAGATCTGCAACACTCATGCAAGCAGACAGAAGGCGTCTACAATCTACAGCACCACGCCACCGAATCTACAACACTTATGCAAGCAGACAGAAGGCGTCCACAAGAATACAACGCTACGCCACCGGATCTGTAACACTCATGAAAGCAGATAGAAGGCATCCACAAGAATACAACGCCACGCCACCGGATCTACAACACTCATACGAGCAGAC